CCTGAGCCCCTGGCCCCCCTCCCATCTCCTGCATCCCATCCTTCCCCATCTCCTACATCCGCCCCCTTCCCTATTTCCTGCCCCCCTTTCCCATCTCCTCCATCCTCCCCTTGCCGATCTCTTCCCCCTTTTTCCTAACTCCTGCCCCCCAGTGTGGGTGAGAGTCTTCCTTATCCCCGCCAGGGCACACGGAGCGCTCCCATCCCGATCCAAAGCCGGATCCCCTGGAGCAGCCCGTCCTGGCCATCCATGGCCACAGGGATGTGACGGGCGCGCTCGGCCTCTGCGGCTCCTGTCCCCTCCCCGCGCCCGGCCCTCGCTCGTCCCGGCCTTATCCCGGGGGGAATCATCTCCCGGGATTCACCCTGGCACGGATGGGCTCTCCCGAAATCCCAGGGAACACCGGCACCCCCGGGCTGCGGCCGGCGTTATCCCAGAAAATGGCAGAGCGTCCTTTTCCCTGGGCCTGGCTGCTCCAGGCTCGCTGTTCCTGGGGGAGTGCCTGGAAGCGGGCTGGTTTGGCCACCTCAGCGCTGCTTTTCTTTAGTTTTTTAAGGAAAGAACATTCCCGGAGCGATGCTCTGTGAGGGCCGGGAGGTTTTTATCCATCAACCTGGAAAAATCGGCTGTGGCCGCCCTAAAATCCACAAGTTTTAAATAGAAATTCCTCTCTGGCCTCCGGCAGATTAATCAGTCAGGGCCTGCTCCAGGAGCGTAATCCGGGTGGCAAATTCCTGAAAATCCTTGGAGGGAACAGGCAGAGATTTCGAGAGAGGAATTTTTAATTTTCAGGGCTAAAAACAGATGGAGGGGAAAAAAAGAGGAAGGAAAGGTGGGAGGTGGGGGTGATTCGGCTCTTGGCATCTTCCCTGCAAACGGGATGTCCAGGTTTCCCAGTGCCGGCCAAATGCCTTCTTCCCACTTGGGCTCTTCCTGGAATTGCTCCATCACCTTGCACAAAAGCTGTTATCCCTTTATTTCTAATTTTTTGGGATTAAAAGGCTGGGACCTGCCCTGTTCCAGGGGCCTCTCCGAGTGTAGCATTCCTCGGTGCCACCTCCATTGGCTTTGGCTCATGCCAGAGGTGCCTTCCAAGGGCAAGGAGGGATCCAAAAATCCCACTTGTGCTTCCAAACTGACTGTGCTCGGCTGCCAGAGGGAGAGAGCGAGGGGAGAAAAGTGCCAGAATTCCCAGGGGATGGAAAAGAAAATGGAATAATCCCTGTTGTGAGGGTGATTTAAGAGCAGTGTGGATGTGGCACTTGGGGACATGGATTTTGGGGGAATGTTGGACTCATGGGCTTGAGGGATTTTCTAACCTTAAGGATTCTGGGATTCCTTTTTTTTTCTGTGGGAGCGGAGCTTGATCCCACCTGGCTCCTGTGAGGGGGTTATGGAGAGCAAGGAGATCCCCCAGAGCCTCATTTTTTCCCAGGGTTTCCATGAAAAATCAGCATTTCCTTACCAAAAATCTGACCTTTGGCATCTCGGAATTCCGGGAGAGCCCCCAAATCCAGCATTCCCCTTTCAGTGTTCTCACATGGGGAGTGGGATCAGCCTCACAGAGCCTGGAGAGACCGAGATTCCCAATCCCAGTCCCAATTTTGGCTCCGGAGCCATGTTCCCTCCTGGCCTGGCCTCGCCTCAGGAGCATTCCTGCTGCATTCCAGGGGCAACACCCGGGTGGAGGAGGCCTGTGAGATGTACACCAGGGCTGCCAACATGTTCAAGATCGCCAAAAACTGGAGTGGTGAGTCCAAATCCTGGGATCTGGGGGGGCGTAGATCATCCCAGAGCTCCCAAACGTCTTCCTGTGAATTATTCCATGGGGAATGGTCTCTGTGTCTATGCAATTCCTATTTAAATACTGGGAGAGTGGACAAAGGGAGTGAGCTGAAGGATCCTGGGGGAATTTTAAGATCCCAGCTGGTGATCCTGCTTGGGAAGCCCCTCATCCCTGAGTCTCCCTGGGTCCCGGAAGCAGCGCATTCCCGCTCACTCACGGGATTCACGGGATGGGTATTCCCTCTTTTCCAGCGGCAGGAAATGCCTTTTGCCAGGCAGCCAAGCTGCACATGCAGCTCCAGAGCAAGCACGACTCAGCCACCAGCTTTGTGGACGCCGGGAACGCCTACAAAAAAGCAGATCCGCAAGGTAAGGCGGCGGAACCCGGCAGCGGGATGCGGGATTGCTCCCGGCCAAACGCTCACTGCTGGCAGAGCTGCGTTCCTGCTTTTCCAGAAGGTGCTTTGGGATGATGCGGGAGGTCAGCGCTATCCTGGTGTCTCCTCTTGGTGTTTGTTGGGGTTTGGGATGCTGCAGGGTGTTGGGACTTTTGGCAGCTTCCATCCTGGTTTGGCTTGGCTTTAGGGAATGGCTTCCTGAGGAATGGCGTCAGGCAGTCACTGGGCTGGATCACAGTAGGAGCCCTGCCGTGTCCCCGAGGCTTTCCCTAGTCCTGGCCTTTGTTGGGATGAGAATAAATCATCTGGGATTCTTTCAACCTGGTTGTGATTTTTGGGAAGGTCTCCAATCCACTTTTTCCTAGCTAGGTCTGGAAGCAAACCCTCCACCTCCCACCAGCATTATCCCAGGAGACATGGGAACAAACTCAGGGATGACACCCTTTTGGAGTGGTGAAACTCCCAAATTCCCACTTTCAAAAACAGCAGTGTTTTGGAGTTGATCCCTTGAAGTTTGCTCCATTGGGGGATGCAGACAGCAAACACGGGGTTGGGTCATCCTGGTGTTTGTTCCCTTTGGGAATTGCTGGAGGTGCTGGGGGCTGAGGTCATTCCAGAGCCCCCTCTGTAGGTAGCTATTCCCTGGAGCGGCTGCCGGGTGGGAGTTGGGAGTGGGACGTGGCTGACGCTGTTGTCTCTCACACACGCTGCAGAGGCCATCAACTGCTTAAACGCAGCCATCGATATCTACACCGACATGGTAAGGCCCCGCTCCCGGGAACGCCGCGCGGCTTCCCGGGAACGCCGCGCCTCATCCCGCTCCCCTCCCGTCCCCAGGGCCGCTTCACCATCGCTGCCAAGCACCACATCACCATCGCTGAGATCTACGAGGCCGAGCTGGTGGACATCGAGAAGGTGAGGGGACGTTGGTGACATCATCAGTGACGTCACTAGAGGCCCTGGCATGGCTTTCCCAGAAAACTTGTGGTTGTCATATCCCTGGAAGTGTCCAAGGCCAAGCTGGAGCAGCCTGGGATTGTGGAAGTTGTTCCCCTCAGTGGAAGGGGATCACCTTTGAGGTCCCTTCCAACCCAAACCATTCTGGGATTTCTTAGCCCTGAACTCAAGAATTCCCTTCTCCCATCCAGCACCAGAATTCCCAGTGTAGGTTCAGTCCAGCCCTGAGTTGGAGTTAATGGTTTTCCCAGCCTGGAGGCTTTCCTGGAGCAATCCCAAGTCTCTGGTGTGTCCCTGTGCCAGCAGCACTGGCTGAACACTCCGGTGAGAATCCACTTCAGTCTTTCCCATTGGAAAAGCTCTTTGGGAGTGTCATGGAGCCATTTTAGTCACTTTAGTTCCCATGTCAGCACTGATTCCCTTGTTCCCACTTCCAAACTCCCTGAGCAGGAATCCCACTGCAGATCTCCTGCTGGAATTTTGCAGGATAAAACGGGATGGGATTTAGGGGTTGTTTTGCAGGCAAGGATTTTCTTCCTTGGCTCTGCTCCATTGGATCCCATCTCTGTCCCTGAATGTTGGTGCTGTTCCCTGGGGTGCTTTATCCCAGGATGACTGATCCCACATTTCTGTCCCTAGGCCATCGCACACTACGAGCAGGCTGCAGATTACTACAAGGGAGAGGAATCCAACAGGCAAGTCCTTGGGATCAGCGGGAAGGGCTGGAACAGGGATCCATCTGTGGAAGAGGGATCAATCCCAGACACTCCCACAACCAGCACACTTCTAATTTGGGCTATTCCAAGAGAATTCCTCTAAATCCCAGCTGTGGGTTCCCACTTCTCTCTCTGGGACAGGGTGCTGGGGCGTGGGCTGGTGAATTCCTGGGATTCAGGGCCTGATTTCTGGGATGTGGTTGCAGCTCAGCCAACAAATGTCTGCTGAAGGTGGCGGCCTATGCAGCGCAGCTGGAGCAGTACCAGAAAGCCATCGAGATCTACGAGCAGGTCAGGAGCTAAATCCCATGGGAATAGCACCTCTTCCCAAGGAAAAGGGCCCAGGGGTTGGCAAAACTGCCAGAATCAGGAAATTGTTTAGGCTGGAAAAGCTCTCTGAGGTCAGAGTCCCACTGTTCCCCCCGCATGGCCAAGTGTCCCTAAGTGCCACATCCATGATTTTCAGTGTTTCCAGGAAAAAGTTGGGAGAAATCCATAAGAATTCACTTTTGAATGTATTTACAACTCCCTTTGACAGAAAATTCCCTCCTGGATTTATCAGCTCTGCCTTTTGTTGGATATTTACCTGGGAATACCAATAGTGCTGCTTGGTGCTTCTAGAGGGTTAATTCTGGAGCAACTTTTTCCCAAATGGATTTGTTTTTCCATTTCCTCATCAACCAAGGATCAGCCTGCTGGGATCTGACTTCCCTTGGGATGAGTTCAAAACCACCCTGCTTCCCAACAGCTTATTGGCATTTTTTCCCTGCCTTTTATTCCCAGCCCTGTGGCTCAGGGTGGAATAGGAATTGGTTTAATCCAGGCTTTCCTTTCCTGCCCCCTTTTTCCATGTTTTTTTGTCCAGGTGGGAACAAACACGATGGATAACCCTTTGCTCAAGTACAGCGCCAAAGAATATTTCTTCAAAGCTGCCCTGTGCCACTTCATCGTGGATGAGCTGAATGCCAAGGTCAGTTATCCCAGAATTCCCAATTCCTCCTCACCAGCCTTGGCCAGCTGGGAGAAGCTCAGTGGGCTCACAGCTATTACCCCAAAATCCCTGATCCCTCCTCTGCAGTGGCTGGAATTCTTGATGTGCCACTGTCACGTTGGATTCTTGGTGGATACTTTCCCAAGTTTGAGGATGGGAAGGCAAATGCTGGGAAAAAAAAATAGGAATAGTGTGTGAAGGGAACTCTTCTCTCTTTCAGCTTGCGCTGGAGAAATACGAAGAAATGTTCCCGGCTTTCACAGATTCCCGGGAATGCAAGCTATTGAAAGTGAGTAACCAGGGGGCTTTCCCACTTTTCCAGGGGTTTTCTCTTTTATCCCAGTATTTTAAAGGACATCAGCCTCACTTTTCCCTGGATTTGGCCCAGACCCCCGTTTGTGGTGGGTGCTTTTCATGGTCTCTGCTCCCTGGGATGAGATGCTGGAATGGGAACATGCAGGAATAGAGCATTCCCTAATTTTTCCTGGTGCTTTCCCAGAAACTGCTGGAAGCTCATGAGGAGCAGAACAGCGAGGCCTACACCGAGGCTGTGAGTACTCATGGGTGCACTTGGGAATGCTGCTTCTTCCTTCTCTTTTTTGGGATGCCTGTGCCCTGTTCAGTATTGGGGAACCTGCAGAGAGGGGACAGCTGCTCCAGCAAGGTCCCAGCTTCCTCCTTTAACATTCCTGGAGTTTCCTGGAGAGTTCAGATCCTGCCTGGGTTTGCTACAGCTCCTTTGGTGTTTGACAGGAGCTCAAAAAGCTTGGGTTGGGTTTGGAGAGATTTTTCTCTGGACTGTGGCCCTGTGCCTTTTCCCTTTTATTTTTTTTTCCCGTTCCCTTTTTTTCCTCTGCTTTCCCTTGTTTCCCCCCACTTCCCCCTTTTTTTTTTTCCCTTCTTCCTTTTCACCCCCTTTCCTTTTTCCCTCTCCCCTCTTTCTTTCCTTTCCTCCTTTCTAGCCTCCTTTTCCCCTTTTTTCCTTCCCCCGCTTTTTCCTTTCCCTTTTTCCCCTTCCTGTTTTTCTTTTCCCTTTTTTTCCTTTTTTTCCTTCGTTTTCCCTTGCGTTTTTCCCCCCTTTGTCCTTGATTTTTTCCCCTCTTGTTTTTCCCCTCCTTTCCTCTTGGTTCTTTCCCTTTCTCCTCTTTCTTTTTTCCTCTTCTTCCCCTTTATCCTCCCTTCCCTTTTTTTCCCCTCTTCCCCTTGTTTCACCTTTGCCCTTGTTTCCCCTTTTTTTCCCTTTTTCCTTATTTCCCCCTCCCTTTCCCCTTGTTTTTCCCCCCTCTTTCCCTTTATTGTCCTTCTTTGCACTCCCCCCCTCCCTTTTCTCTCCTTTTCCCCTCCCCTTCATTCCCAGGACGAGCCCGTGTCTGCCACTCCCCCCTCCCCATCCCCGCCGCATTCCCGCCTCATTCCCTTTCCCGCTCCCTGATCCACGTTTTTTGCCGGTGCCAGGTGAAGGAATTCGACTCCATCTCGCGGCTGGATCAGTGGCTCACCACGATGCTGCTGCGCATCAAGAAAACCATCCAGGGCGAGGGCGACGGCGACCTCAAGTGACGCCCGCGGGCCCTTCCCGCCTCCAGCCGAGGACTTTTCGGGAATTCCCGACCCAATCCCGCGCTTTCTTTCGTCGCTTCCCACTCCCATGGCTCACTGTGTTTCTTTAGCCCCCGCTCTGTGGTGACGCTCCGGGCGGATGCCAGGCAGGAGAAGCCCTTGGAGCGGAATTCCTCCTTCTCCTCCTCGGGTTTGGTCCCGCTCATCCCGGTGCCTGCACTCGCAGCTCCCGGTTTTCCTGCTGTTCCGTTGATTCCAGCATGTAAATATTCCATCCAGGCCAGCACAGTACAAATATGCGCTTCCAGCCCGTTGTGTTCCCATTTTCCCGTTCCCAAGTGTTGGATACACTTGGATTTGGGGGTCTGGAAGTGGTGCTAGGCAGAGGCTTTGGGAATTGGGAATATCCCGCACACCCCCACCACGCCACAGGCATTCCAGGAGCCTAGGATCGGTGTCAGCCCTAGGTCCTGGTTGGTTTCCACTTTTCTTGGATTGATTTTCCACTTCAGTTCGTGGTGCATCCCATCTCTCCACTTCCAAATAATTCCACCTGAGGAAGGATCTATTTTTGTACCTCACCCTCTGCGTGTGCCGGGCACAATCCCTAAATTCCAGCTCCTCGGCTGCATGCAGGTGTTGATCCCACAGGAGCCTTGTTGGAATTCGGGTGGCAGGGGGGGCACAGTTTGCTTGGGAAAAGTTGAAAAATTCCTGCAGGAATTGATGGGTATGTTGTTACGGAGAGAGGAGTGAGCTGCCTGGTTTTTCAAGGATGCATCGGAGGCGTTGGGAACTTGTGCAATTTGTCACTCTTTGGGAAGAGTGAAGTCAGCAATTAAGGGCTGTTCTGGAGGCTCCAGGCAGCCCCAGCCCCTCTTTCCTCTGGAAAAGTCAGGTTGGAATGTTGGGCTTTGGATAGAGCTTGGCTCGTTGGGCTCTAAAATTCTGAAAACCAAAAATCCCGATCCATGCCAAATTCTCCTTGGTTTGGTGTTTTCCCACCCTTCCCAATCTCTGTTTCCCACAGGTCCTTGTGTTCATCCCAAACATCCCAGCCAGATGGAAAAGCCCGGGCTTGGGAGGCAGCAGGGGGGATCTCCCAGCTCCAGGCTTGGAAGCACACGGAGTTCATGCATTCCCATCCTTAGGAATGGCTTTATCAGGCGTCCAGCACTGTGGGAGCCGGGATGAGGGGAAGCACAGCTTGGGAGGCTCCACTTTTCCCGGTGTTTTTTCGGTTCTGTTGCCGTTCCCTGTGTCAGTGTTGTAGGACAGGAGGAGCAGGAGGGCTGTTACTCCATCCCTACACCTGGTAGTTGTGTGTGAGTAGCTCCAGCATGTCCTCTGCAGTATCCATGGTGAATTGTGACGGTTCCCAGGTGACAATTCCGCCACTCCCGCTGTATTCCCGCCCCACCTCCATCACTCTCTACTCGGAAAACTTATTTAAGGAAATGGCCTTAGCAAGAATATCATGTTTGGTGTGACTGTACATGAATAAAGTGAAAATCATGGATGGAAGGAGGGAGAAGTGGTTCTTCTGGAAAACTCAAAAGGCTGGAGCATGGTGGGATGATGCAGGCTGGGAGGGGGTGTGATTCCTTCAATTCCTGTTTGGAATCATGGAATGGTTTGGGTGGGAAGGGACCTTAAAGCTCATCCTGATCCAGGGACACCTTCTGCTATCCTGGCTTGCTCCAAACCCCGTGAATACTTCCAGGGATGGGGCAGCCACAGATTCTCTGGGAAAACTCTTCCAGGGCCTCCCCATCCTCACAGGGAAGAATTCCTTCCCAATAACCTACCTGAATTCCATTCCTGAAGCCATTCCCTCCCTGTTGTCCTGTCTCCCTCTGTCACTAGGAAGCCATTCCCTCCCTGTTGTCCTGTCACTATAATTCCTGATGAAGAATCCCTCCCACTTTTCCTTGTAGGCCCCTTCTGAGGTTTCCAGGGAACCTTCTTTTCTCCAGGTGAACTTTCCAAGTCTGTCAATATCCCAAAGTGTCCCACTGGATAAGACTGAGTCACTGGGAGGTCTCCACATTCCATATTTTAATAGGAACAGCTCAAACAAGTAACTCACTTCCGTATGTTCGCAGAGTACAAAACATTCCCCGGCTCCGGATCCAAGTGCTCAGCCCTTAAATATATCTACAACCCCTTTCCTTCCATTGGGAATAACTGAGCTCCAGCAGGAATAAATATCTCAAATATAACCTCTTGGAAATGTCCTCTGGTACAAAAATTCCCTTTTTTCTAGCTTAGAATTCCATGAGAACGCCTCCGCCATCCCTTTATCCCAAAAAATAGCTCTGTGCCACAGGTGGGGGGGTGTCTTTATTGCTGGATCTCACCAGGCTGCATTGTGCTTACCTTTCCCAAAGTTCTGCTCACAGCTTCAGCTGAGGAATTGCTGTGGGAATACTACAGGAACAGGTAAAGAAATGGGAAAAGCTGTGGGTTTTTACACTGGGAAGCCCATCCCGAGGTTTGAAGCATTAAACCGTAGCACAGTGAGCTGCTGTTGTGAAAAAAACAGGAGTCAGCCCAGCTGGAACAACACTCCAAGGCTCCTTCCCTGCCCAGGGGAAATCCCCCAAATCCCATTCCACTAAAATGGAGCAGGAAAAGCCTCTGAACTGAGCCCCTTCCAGCACAGCTCCTTTTCACAGTCTTTCTTCTAGGAGATGTCTTGTTCTCCTATGTGCCCAATTCCATAGGAGCTGGAGCAGCTGGAAGGTGAGAACTGACAGGATCTCAGTCCCAGACTGCTCCAGTTTCCCTGCAACTGTAAAATCAAGGAAGTAGCACTTGGCTTCCACCTGCCCCTTTTTGCTGCTCAGAGACTCCAAACTCCTGGAATGAAACTCCAAAGCTGCTCCCACTCTTTGGGATCTTTGGCAAAAGCAGAGGAAACCAACATTTCCTGAAAAGCAAAGTTAGCCAGACTTCTCCTGGATGAAATTCCACTGGGGAAAATGCAGCAAATGTCACAGAGAAACATCAGTTCTCCTGATTGTCCATGTGGCATTGAATTCCCTGGAAAACAAACCTGCACCAGCAAGGTACCTGAGCCGCCCCCTGAATTCGCAGGGGATCAACTCCCACAAATTCCCTGGTGTGGTGTCACCCTGCCCGACCATCAGGAGGTGGAGCTGGGGAAGGAATTTCCAGAGGAAAGCTGGAAATCCACTCTTTCCCAGCTTCCCACCACCAGCCTCCCTCAGGCCAAGGACTGTACAAGGGGTGCAGCCTAAGGAGCAGGAGGCAATCCCGAATTATTCCATGTTCACCAGGGCATGGAGCTGGGGCTGCCCAGAGTCCGTCTGTGTGTGGAGCACCGTGAGTTCTCCCAGCAGGGACTCCTGTGCTCCAGAGGCCTTACAGTCCGTGCTGGAATTCCCACTTCCTGGGACTGCTGCCAGGCTCTGGTAGGGGCTGTTCTCTGGGAAGGACAGCAGCTTTTCTGGGATTTTGGGGGACGCTTCATATTCCTCATCAGGAAGCTCCGTTTTGTGCCCCTCGTCATTCTTTGTAGCTCCTTCCACGATGACGAGGAAGGACTTCCAGGGGGTGTTTTTATCATGGATCTGCAAAGGAATAACCAGGAGAGAGAAGGCTGGATATGAGATGACAAAGTTTGGATCAAGCTTGTATTTGATGTTGGTAGAAAAGGTTTTTGTTTTGGAGTCATGGAATGGTTTGGGTTGGAAGACCCATCCCCTTCCATGGACAGGGACACCTTCCCCTGCCTCAGGTTGCTCCAAGCCCTGTCCTGGGTTGGTCCAAACCCAACCTGGTTTTGAACAATTCCAGGAAAGCAGCACCCACAGGTTTTCTGGGGAAACCATGCCAGGGCCTTCCCAACCTCCCAGGGAACAATTCCTTCCAAACATCCCACCTAACCCCAATTTCCATCAGAAAAGGTTTTTGTTTTGGAGTCATGGAATGGTTTCGGTTGGAAGATTGGACCGTACAGATGATCCAGTCCCACGCCCTGCCATGGACAGGAACACCTTCCCCTGTCTCAGGTTGCTCCAAGCCCTGTCCTGGGTTGGTCCAAACCCAACCTGGTTTTGAACAATTCCAGGAAAGCAGCACCCACAGGTTTTCTGGGGAAACCATGCCAGGGCCTTCCCAACCTCCCAGGGAACAATTCCTTCCCAACATCCCACCTAACCCCAACTTCCATCAGTCGGAAGTCTGCTCCAGCTTGTCCCATCAATCCCGTGGAACGCGGCTCCGAGGAGCCGTGGTGGCGCTGAGCCGCCCGCCGCCGGGATGTGGGAATGCCGGGGCAGCGGGACCGTACCGAGGTGTGCCGGCGCAGCGTGGATTTGTCGGTGAAGGTCCTGCCGCAGGCGTTGCACATGAAGGGCTTCTCGCCGGTGTGGATGCGGTGGTGCCGCTGCAGCGCGTTCAGCTGCGTGAACTGCTTCCCACACTGGTCGCAGCAGTACGGCCGCTCCCCTGGGAATGCGGCATGGGAGACAGGCTGGGAACGCGGGCAGAGCACAGCTGCTGTGCCTCGGGAATGCCCAGCAACCCCTGGCTGACAGGGAATGGTCAGGGGAAACAGCCTGGTGGTACAAATGTCACACTGCCACCCGTCTGGAGGCAGCAAGTTCCTGCCAGCCCCATAAAGATGTGCTGCCACTCTGTTTTCCCATGGATTTTCCGCTAGAGACTCAAGTCCTGCCCAGAATCCAAGTATCCCTCCCCCTTATTCACTCTTCTCTGAGCAACAACCCCTGAGCCACTCCCAGCCCCGGGATCGCTCTGGAGACACCAAAAACTCCCTGTTTGGAAACAGATCCCATTTTCCTCCCTCCCTGGATAAACCTCTGGAGCTACACCAGAGCTCTCCATCACCAATGATCCTGGCAGCTTATTAAGGTATCTCCACAGCCTGTGGAAGCATTCCAGGGAATTGCTGTCACTCAGAACTAGTGGGAGAAGGGGAGAACACGACACATCAAGCAGTGCACACGGGGAAAAACCTGGCTGAGAATTCCTTGCTGGAATATTGCAGAGGTGAGGGGTGTGTATCCAAGAAAAGGGACACATCCTACCTGTGTGGACTTTGATGTGCTGGTACAGGGAATTCCGCTGGGCAAAGGTCCGGAAGCAAACCTCACATTTGAAGGGTTTGGATCCCGTGTGGATGCGGTTGTGGTGTTTCAAGTATTCCTTGGAGGCAAAGCTCTTCCCACAGGTTTCACACATGAAAGGCCTTTCCCCTAAAAAAGGGGGAAAAGGAGAATTAAACCAGCAGAGCTTTGGGAATGCTCTTAAATATCCCACAGAAATTCCAGAGCGTGTCCTCACTGTGGGGATATTTAAAGGTCACCCAGTTCCAAACCATTCCATGGGCAGGGACACCTTCCCCTATCCCAGGTTGCTCCAAGCCACTCCCAGCCTGGCCTGGAACAATTCCAGGGACGGGGAATCCACAGCTTCTTTAGGAAAACCGTTCCAGGGTCTCACCACTCTCTCTTTGGGATTTCTTCCCAAAATCCAATTTAAATCAACCCTCCCTCAGCTTCAGATCACGGGATTATCCTTGGGAACCCTTCTCAGGCAAATCCCACCCAGGAGATGACAATATCTCGTTTTATCCATAAAAACGTGAACAAAAAGCATTTTCTGAAGGCAACAGTTTCCCTGGAATGTTTGGGATTGGATTTTCCCGGTTTTCCAGCCTCACCTGTGTGGCAGCGCCTGTGGTAGATGAGCATGTGGTTCTGGGTGAAGCGGGCCCCACACTCATCACACACAAAGGGCTTCTCCCCCGTGTGGATCCTGCAAGGGAAAAGGAATGTTGGAACTCCAGGATGAGCCTGTCCCTCATTCCCATTGATCCCTACTGCTGGGTAAACAACCACATCCAAAAATGTTACAGTAAAGGCGGATTTTTCAAGGTGACATGCAGCCAAATCCCAAAAATTCTCTCCAGGTTGTGTCACCAAATCCTTTGGGATGTGAGAGAAAGATTCTCAGGGGGTTGGGATGGCTGCTTTTCCTGGAGAGGCACATCCACGTGGCAAAATCTATCCCCAAGGATGAGAAATCCCCACCACCGGCTGCCACCGCACCCCAAATTAAGGCAGCGTTGAGTTTCCAGTGTCCAAAATTCCTGAAAGGGCTCTGGGAATGGAAAAATATCAGGTTTAAACCCTCAGAGAGGATTTTTCCCCTCATAAAAATGTCTCTGCCTGAAGACAGATAAAATTACTGATAAAATCAGGGTCAAGCCCCTCAGAGAAGATTTTTACTCTGATAAAATGGTCTCTGTCATGAGACAAGCTAAAATGACTGATAAAATCAGGGTCAAGCCCCTCAGAGTTAATTCTGATAAAAACACCTTCAGAAAAACAAAACTGATAAAATCAGGCTCAACCCCTCAGAGAGGAATTTTCCCCCTGATCAAAATGTCTGCCCTGAGACACATGAAATAACTGATAAAATCAGGTTAAAGTCCATCAGAAATTATTTTTACCCTGGTGTTTTTTACCAGG